GGTCCTCTTACCTGCAATTTTTGCACTCCATTTGCCAAATTACGAGGTGCTATACCTCCCAGCCATTGACCATGGGCACATCCTTGATTGGTGAATTTCTTCTCGCATTTCTAAGAACTTATCTTCAAGGACGTAAGTACTTTTTCAAGGTTCTGACCGCCATTTGTGGTATCATTTGCCTGTCACGAAAGGGAGTGCGAATAAGCTGATCGGATCGTCGAAGATAGCCATCCTCTTTTCCGTCAATCCTAGGAAAGATGGCACATCAGTGTGTCAGAAGTTACGGCCTTACCTATAGAATTGAGCTGCACCACCAGCCCTAGTGCCGTTTGCATTCCAGCCAAAGCATTTGGGTCGAGCGCAGCCGAGCACAGGCTGGCCACTATGAAGAACCTAGTAAGTAAGTTTGGGTGGTGAATCGAGATTCGCTTCAAATTAATGAAACGATGTCGTGGTCTACGAATACCCGAGAATGTTGGTAAAATGCCTAACACCGCTTTTTGTTTACCCACTTGGAACGTGAATGGGATCGCTGCCTGACCACAGTACGAGGCTAACGTTTGTTCGAGGACATTTAGCCACAAAAGCAGCGCAAGTCGTAGCATCTGATCAACGACACCTAAAATATTGCTGATTTCGGATAGCTGGAGTCAACTGGAGAAAACTGGACGTTTGCGCTGCAAACGTCAGTGGAGTGGTATTGAAGATTATTCGCTATGCAAAAAATTAAGATTCTAAAAGTAACAGAGGCCGTGAAAGAGATTGACGGATCGCACTCGGTCAACTGGCGATAGTGGATCGGAGTATTCGGGCGATGGAAAGTGAATTCACATCCAAATGCAGGTCAGCACACATACACAGTGGCGGACGGAAAAGGGGCCTACTCACGACCGTCCCTCCACGGATAGATTGCCCGATTTTTGAGTGCTTTGTGTGTTATAAAAATAAGCAGGCTTTGTTCTTATCATCAGATGATTGGAGGAATTTTTGATCTGTCCCTTCTCAGAATTTGAAATCATAGAACTTTTCTCAAAAGATGCGGCTGGCTGACCAAAACAATCACACTATGACCCCC